TCGCTTTCCAACCTCATCTATGGTCTTTTATTAGTGCTGATTTGCCTGAGGCAGTCAAGATACTCACATCGAGTGTACCATGTGCTGAGAAGATAGACACAGCTGGGGAAGAAACCAGCCTCGAAGAAACCAAGAACCGCTCGGAGAGCTGCAAGCTGAGGGAACTTCTTGACGAATCCCATGCCAACCATGACAGCACCCCACATCATAGTGATGAGAGCCAGATGAATACGGGGACCGACTTTGCGGATGAGGACAGTCGATGGTGGCTGGAAGATGACGTAGGGGATGAAGAAGACCAAGTTGGCGATGTTCTACCACCATTGTCAGTTTAAATTTCAGTCCCCCAGAATGAAGAGAACAAGACTTACGTATCGGAAGCCAGTGAGCTGCAGCTCAACACTCATGCCCGCAATGTTGGCAGCACTCATATTGGTTCGATCCATAAGCGAAACACAATACATGGCACCAACAGTCACGACGAGTCGACGGTCAATCCGTCGAATGATGCTGCGCTGCTCCTCCTGCGTGAAGCCATGGTCGTGATCGATCTCAGAGCTGACCTTGCTAGGAGCCTGATCGAGATGATTGAACTCGGCCTGCTTCTCGACGCCGTCGTCACCATTGGTTGTTCGATCCATGGTTGGTTGCGTAGATCTGAAGAGTGGTGATGAAGTTCAGGTCTGGGTGAGAGTAGGTTAAAAAAAAAAGGAGGAGGGAAAAAGAAGAAGTAGAAGTTCCTGTTACACAGTTTCCAGGAGGAGAAAAAGTGCTGGGCAGTGGCCCCCTTTTGAGAAAGAGAGGAAAAAAGGTGGACTTGACAGTGCAGAATGTGAGAGAAAACCAGGTTCAGGCTCTGGTTCCACGGAAGATGCAAGCTATTCTCTGCTTGTCTTACCCCCGAGTCTTTTCTTTCTGTGTCTCGCTGCTGTTTTTGTCTCCAGTTTATTTCTGGTCTTTTCGTCCACGATCATCGCCCTCTTATATATACGCATTTTCTCCCCTTCCCCTCCCCCATTCTATGGGGTTATACATCTCGATATCGAACCAATCCTAACGAACCTCGGGTGGCGGTCAATGCCAAGCAGAAAGTCACATAAAGAGCACACCCCTTGGTCTTGGCCTTGTGTCTTTGGGAACAGAGCTTGTTCGACTCGTTTACGCCAGCTTCCCCCGCAAGATCTACCGTCGCTTGCTCCACCAAGAAATCTGGGGTGTGGGCATGGGAAAAGACGACTTTGCGGGGTAGGTAGGCAGGCTGGGTATTGCGGTATAGCTGCTACGCCCGGAGGATTGCCTGTTTTGGGGCGAGATGCGATGGAGGGCTTGTCATTGAGGGTCCCCCCAGTGCATCATCAGCAGGACAAGAAAGATTGAGAGGGCTTGCCATAGTACGGTCTTGGCTGTTTGTGCGGTAGCCCGTTTTCAGGTCAAGTGTGATTGAGTTTTACAGGCTCCCTTGTCTTTGGGAAAACGGAGAAATTTGGGAATTAAAGTGTGTGGTCTTTGGCTGTGGAATTGGATCGTTACACTGCCGCCTTGTGTGTTGCATGGGTTGAGCCTCGAAGCGAGCATTGGCAATGGATCCATTCTTTGCATTATCATGTAGCATTGACGAGTGACCAACGTAACTCGACTCATCTGGTATACATAAGTACGCTGTCCTACTATTGACAGTATTGCTAGGAAACACAAAGAGGTCGGACCATCGCTCTCTCACTTACACCAGCAAGGCTCCCCTCCCTACCTTACCGCAAGCCACACCTCCTTTTTAAAATCAGATAGAGTAAATCGTGTCCTGGCCAGTCTAATTCCGTCGCCGATACCTAAAACAACACCTTAACTTAATTATTCTCCTCTCCGTCTTCTTTTCCCTTCGAGACACACTCGATTCAACGCTACTCAGTCCTCCCCCGCGTTCTCCCCCACCCCCGCATCGACTCTCACCTCCCGAACCAATAACGGCTCATAGAGCGACCTTGGATGCCGAGGCTCCTCTCCAATTTCGACTCTAGAGGTCAAGCTTAAGTTCCAAACCTGAATTCCTAGCCTCTCGTTGGGCGCTTCCGCGGCGACGCTAATTTATGGTTGTTTTGACCTGGACTCATCGCTGAGCTGTCACCGTCGAGGGCTTGCAGTAGAGTAGACACACAGACAGACAATACCCCGGGTTAGCTTAGTTGAAGCAGTGGTTTCTTTTTGTGGCAATTCTTGCGGGTCGTTGGCTTGGCTGTCGGCACGCACCGAAAGATATCCAGTGATATCCTTTCACAGTTCTAGATTCCAGTAGTCAAAATGTGTCATTCAACGCTTTGCCATATACCATACTCTAGCTGAACCATCAAGAATGCCCATATCTCGGACACTGCCCGAATCCTTACACGCGTCATCTCATCATGTCGTATCCCTCTCTCTCACGTACCGTCCCAGACCAGTTTGCGCCTCGGTATCTCATCCACACCGTAAACATTACCAGAAAAGATCAAATCCAAGCCAGAACGTACGTCCCGTCCACACCTTCAGTATCCCGTCTTGTACCCTGTCTAATTCATCTCGAAGGATTTGTGCAACCTTCAACGTTCATGCAATCATCCAGTTCATTTTACCTGCGGCGGCCAAGCACCGAGTCCTATAATCTTATTTGCTTGTTCCTGACCGAACCTCGGCTCACGTTCAACGAAACGCGGATGACACAGTCGAGAAGGACTTCTTGATGTTGTGCCAGATCAACGCAGCGGTACCAACAACCGCAAAGATCTGAAGAATCTCCCAGGGCTTTCGAGTCTTGACCTCGGTCTCGATGTAGTCGATCTTGCTACCAGCCATACGGGGGAATCGACCAGTTGTCAGGTACTCTTCCATGAGTGCATCCTTCTTATACCACTCCTCACGCAACCAGAGCTCAAAGGCCTTCTGGTCGTGAAGGGGCATATCGCTGATTTTGAAGCGGCGCCAGTGGAAGTTGACCGACTTAGGGGCCCGACCTTGAAAGTAGGTGCTCACCAAACCAAAATATTCCTCACCGAATCCACCTCGGCTAGACGCGTCCGTCAGTCGACAGTTACAATGCTGTGTAACGGGGCTTCAGGTTACAACTTACGGAATTCCCTCATATGCGACCGTGCAGTCGTAGACGTAGTCAATGCTTCCCTTGAGCTCATTCAGGCAAAAGAACATGCCAGTACTTCGTGGAAGCATGACATGGTCTGGATCCTTGAGGTCGTTCTTGGCAGCCCAGCCAGCCGACTTTCTACGCCCATTATTGGAAAGATTCGTGCCCTCGGGGAACAAGAGCAGCCACATGGGGTCCATATACGACTTTCCATTAGGGTCAACCTTTCGTTGCTTGAGTTTGTTGAGACGATAGGCCAGGCGGGGCTGATCCGAGGCCATCTTTCGTGACATGAAGATGAATCCGTAGAAGCGCATTCCCCATCCAATGAAAGGGATGTGCTTCAGAGATTCCTTGAGGATGATGTAGATATGCCCATGCATACCAGGAGAATTAGCGTAAGCAATCCACCACAGATATAGCCAGTCAGTATAGATCTGCATAAGGGTCAGTTTCCATAAACCTCGTGAAAAGCTTATCACCGTACTTGATGGTTGGCAATCATCACCAAACGCTCAGGGAACTCGAACTGAACTCCTCCATCGGGCCGCAGCTTGATCTGACCGGCGACCGACTCGTCACCGCTGATTCGAATGGTGGTCGGGCCCCAGATTTGGGTCATGGAAGTTGTCGTAAGACAAAAAGATTGTTTCGTCATAGCCATGTAAGCGTAGTACCAGTCACGATTGACGAAGTACAGGGGAGAGCCGATAAGTTGGGTAAAGAAAATGCTACCGCCATGTTAGTTGCCTGTACCTGACGAGGGACTCTGCATCCATACATCAAGCAACATGTGTTGAAGTATAGGGCGAACAAGGAGCCGCGCACAATCTGCATCAGAGCTCCATAGCTTTCTTTCCCCGAGGGATGCTCCTCCTTTGGTTTGGGCTTCTGCTTCTCTGCTAAAGACTTCTCAGCGAGACCAGCAAGTAGCTCTGGCGAAGGGATCACCGTCTCCGGTGGGCCATCGGTTTTGGTGTCAGCCATGGCGGCGTCTCTGTTCGTTTGTGTTGTCTATCAGATGTCGTTATATGTTCTTTACGAGGTATCACGTCGATCAAAACTGAGTAAACGAAGAGGCGCCTTCAGGACTGTTATATCTCGTGTCTGCCTTGTTCACGCCGTTGGAGCTAAGAGAATGCGAGGGGTCGCGTGGCACAGTCTACACAGTCTACACAGTCAGAGACAGAAACCTAGACCTCCGGCCTCGTGGCGTAGAGATAACGAGAGAAAAGAGAGTCTATCGAAGCTCAAGATGAAGAAATCTGACGAGGCTGCGAAACATTGTGCATGTGATTCAAGGTCAAAAGCCCAAGGTTACCTTAAGCTCAGCTCCAGCTTACCTAGGTTGTTCTGACGTGCCTGCTTGTGGTTAGCTGTTAGCGCAGGTGACATCAGGCGGATGCGTCGGAGGGGGGAGGTCCTATGACGCCTAAAGACGGTGCACGGTGGTTCACAGATGCCGATCAGATTTGGCCAATGGGAAGCTACGAATATGAGATCACTTGGCATAAAGCTGTTGGATCTGCGTTTATAGAAGCTCTCTCGGGAGAGATAAGACACTTTGACAGGTCATACACAGATTTCAGCTGATCAAGGGCTTCTTCCCTCAAGCCTTTAAAAGTTTAAAGTCGATATTCAGGGTCCTGACACTGTGAAATGGTCCCTTGCAGCGAAAATCTTTCTTTTTCGTTCTCAAGTCGAATGCTGGAACAGGAAGGCGGTGAACATCAGCCCACCTCTAGCTACTCAGTGCATTCTGCCAAAGCCGTCGCAAAGCCGCATGGGGCATCGCAGTAGGTCCCGTCTTCGGCGTCATCTGTAGGCAAATTTAATCAGCCTCAACGGTTTCTTTTCTTTTCACATGCCATGCCGAATTCCTGGTACCATGTCTAGAAGGTCCCTCCTACGAGGCCTGACCCTCTTGAGGCCCAATAGCAATCAACTACCAATATGTCGCTTTTTGACCAGGCCATCCACATCCACTCTGGCACCACAAACATGCCGTCTTCTATCAACAACCTCGACCCATCAAACGTCCGAGATCCGCAGCATCGCAGAACTCCCGAATAGAATAAGCCCACGCTATCTCCAGAGCACAAAGCCCGGGTCGTCGCTATTATCACTAAACTGGCCTAAACCCCCTCGAAACCTCCTTATCATCCACAAGCTCTACTCAGATGCCGTCGTCGAGGCTGTCGTCAAATTCTCGACCTACCTCCATAATGAATATCCAGAAGTCAACCTCGTGTTCGAGCCACGCATCGCCCAATCGTTGAAAGATCGTCTCGATTTTCCCATTTATGCCTCGGACTCTCGGTCCAATATGGCGGACAAGATTGACATCATCGCGACTTTCGGAGGAGATGGTACTGTCCTACGAGCTGCAAGTCTTTACAAGCTCCATGGTTCTGTTCCTCCAATTCTGTCATTCAACATGGGGACACTAGGCTTCCTTGGCGAATGGGATTTCAGAGAGTACAAAAAAGCTTGGAGGGAGACGTTTATGAGTGGCAGTGACGTCGCTACCCGTGAGGCCAACTACCCTCGAGGTGATTGGGACAAGACAAGTCCAGTGTCCTACACTGCATGGGAAAGGCATAAGGGTAAAAGCATGGGAGCCCAACGAGCATCGAAGGTGTTACTCCGTCACCGCATCAAGGCTGATGTGTTTGATCCGTCTGGTAACAATATCAATCATTGGCTGTCAGATACTCTGTCAAGCGAGGCAAAGACAGGGGCGAAGGCGCTAGCAGTGCCTCACGAGCCATCACCATCACTGAGAGCTATCAACGAGATCTCGGTGCATCGGGGTTCTCATCCCCATCTAGCTGTCATTGATATCTACCAGAATGGTCACTTTCTCACAGAAACCACAGCTGATGGTATCTTGATCAGCACCCCCACAGGCTCAACGGCATACAGTCTAAGCGCAGGTGGTCCAATCGTTCATCCACTTGTCAAGTCGCTCCTCATTACACCCATCAGTCCTTGTAGTCTAAGCTTCCGATCCCTGGTGCTCCCGCTAGACACCAAGGTCACCCTACGAATGAGTCGCAAGAACCGCGGCCGTGAACTTGACCTGAGTATAGATGGCAAGAGGTGTGCGGGAGTGTCGCCAGGGACAGAGATTCGGGTAGAAGGCGAGTTTGTTGGACGAGCTGGTCCTGGGGAGGAGTGGCATGGCGGTGTACCATGTATGATCAGGACTGAGGATGATGACCCTTGGGTGGGTGGCTTGACTGGCCTACTCAAGTTCAATCATCCTTTTGGACGAGAACCTGGTGGAGACGATTATGCCGATTAGGCAGTTGATGTGATATGCCTACATATGGATGCACATATTGGCGATTATTTGATACCCATACGTTTGGATAATAATGAAGTCATGAGGAGAGCTGGCAGTATTAGGGTGCGATAAGAATCCGAAATGCTTCTACAAGCAAGATTAAGGCCACCAATAAGCATATACAATATATCATAGACAACTTTGAACCAATATCAAAGTAGGTCACCGACTTGTTGTTACTCCATACGTGGTGTTCCATAACACAGATGCAATTCGGGCTCCCTGTTCTTGAACTGCTTTCGCTGAGCTTCCAACACGAGATGGGAATAAGATGATGACAGGCTTAGGGCTGAAACTCGCAGCCAATTGCAGTAAGATGGCGCGCAGCAGTAAGCGGCGTATGCTTCAAAACTCCGGATCGGCCGAGTAGTGAAGCCATGGGCGGTCCGCGGACATGGATTAAAGCCACTCAGCGTGAGCAACTGCCCTTTTCAGAGGCAACGGTGATCCAAGATGGGTTCACTGCGCGCTGACAGATGGCAGTGCATAAACCGAAGCAGAAGATCTTTGTCTATGGTCCACAACAGCTGACAAGTGGCTCAGATACGTGGCAGAACAATGCATCTCTGTCTTACGGATGTTTAGCGAGGAGTCGTTCAAAACAATACGAGTATCTAAGCGCTCTTGTGATCATGTTCCATGTGAAGAAGCATCAGAAAAGAGCCGCCAAGCCGTCTTGGCTCTCTCTGAGATTAGCAACGGCGGTTTGAGCTGGGCGGGTTCCCTTTAATTTCGCCGCCAGGGGTTTTCCTCAAACATTCCGAGTGCTTGTGGATCGGGATATTTTGATGACCCATGATCAGCCGACTCTAGTTGTTTGATGTTCCATTGTAATGTCATTCCCCGTCTTATGTTCCGCGGATCTCAATACATACTCAGCCTTTGGTGATCTTCTTGTTACTCTACTGAGGACTTGCTATGACAATAGGAGTCTGAGGTGAGGTCATTGTTTGACTCGGCGCGTGGTTGGACTTGTTGAAATCATGCAGCGGGTGTTCCTGGAACGGCTTTAAGGCTCGTTAGTGGCTGGGTGATGCAGGGGATGCTAGCGGGTGGTGGGCAGTAACTTAAACAAAGAGGTCATTCATGTCACATGTATTGAACTCGATACAAGGGCAACGGGAATTATCATACGCGAGCTGACCTTGAAACATGAATATTCAAACAATTAACTTATCACCGATGATCGATTGATTGTTTGCCACAATCCTTCCTCCGTTCCGCAGAGCATCTCTAAAATAGAAACAGGACACATTCAGTAAGTATCACACAGCCTGTGTCATTGCATCAGACCGATACAGCTCAGAGAGGCGGCGCAGGGCTGGGCGGATTCTTGGCAACGAGACAGAGGCAGAGGGAGAATGAAGGCCAACGCCTGTAAGAAAATGGTGGCCCTTGGCTGATTGATGACTGACGGAATGAGAGAGAGGGAGAGGGAGAGACAAGCTTGACTATTAAGTTACTCTTAAACATCTAATACGAACCTTGAACTCTTTTCTCTTACTCTATTTCAATCAATACCTTGCCTCGCCTTGCCCTGGCCGAACCCAAAAGCACGGATCCAAACCGTTGACGATACTGCCAATTAATTAAACTGACCACCCCACACTGAATCCTTTCCTTTCCTTTCTTCTACATACCCTTCTTATACCCAGCTGCATCACAACCTCGACCTCGTGTTTCTTGGTTTTTCTTTATTCCCTTATTTTCTCTTCATTTCTTCTATTTTCGGGGCCAGTTTCTTCTTATTTGCATATTGACTCTTTGGCATTTATTCATCTTGGACCACCCTTTCTTCGATCCGATCACCAATTCATCGATACAACAAACAGCAACAACTCGAATTGTTCGCTTCCATTCCTTCCGAGGCTGCGAATAGCTTCCGTCTTCTTATCGCTCATTTATCCACCCGAGGCCGTTGCCATGGCCATTTCTTCGGGCCTCGCCCTTTTGCTGGCTGCCAGCGCCGCATTGAATCCTGTCGCTGCTGCGCCTTCGAGTAAGTCGACACTCTTCGCGACCGCGCATGTCGTCGAGCGCATGGAATCTGGTGTGGCGCGGTCGCATACATTTTCCTACGTAGATCTTGGGGGTCGCGGATCGGAGCTAACGTGATCCAATCGCAGTTGACGACGCTTTTGTCGCCATCTCCAATTCAGATTTCTCTCCCCGATCAGTATCAAAACGAGGCACGCCTCAAGCCCCCAATGGCTACGTACCCTCCAAAGTCAATTGCCCGAGTACACGACCGACGATCCGAAATGGCTCTTCCATCTCGAGCATGGAGCGCGACTGGATCCCGAAGCGTCGCAACGAAACCATAGCCCCTATGCGAACCCTCTTGAAGCGTCTAGCGATTCCCGGTTTCGACAGCGAGGAGTATCTCAAAGATGCTGAGACAGATCCCACTGCCCTTCCAAATATTGGTATTGCTATCTCTGGAGGTGGCTACCGCGCTATGCTTTGCGGTGCTGGTGCGCTAGCAGCTTGGGATATTCGTTCTGATGGAAGCGACAAGGATGGAAATCTTGGTGGTCTTCTACAAAGTGCGACATATCTTTCTGGTCTCTCCGGCGGTGGATGGCTTGTGGGCAGTTTGATGATGAACAACTTTACTTCTGTCCAGGAAAGCGTGAACTATCCCGGAATTTGGCAGTTGGAGAATTCGATCCTTGAGGGCCCTGAGAGTTACTCCCTTCTCCAGTACTACAATACGATTTTCGACGCCGTCTCCGATAAGAAGGATGCTGGTTATGAACGATCTCTTACGGATTACTGGGGCCGCATGCTGTCATACCAGCTGATCAACGCTACGGATGGTGGCCCTGCATATACATGGTCTTCCCTTGCCGACGATCATGACTTCTCCGAGGGTAAGGCTCCTATGCCTATCATCGTTGCGGATGGCCGTGCGCCAAACGAGACCATTATCAGTCTTAACGCGACCAACTTCGAATTCACCCCCTGGGAGCTTGGTTCCTACGACCCTGTTCTTCAGGGCTTCGTTCCCCTCAAGTACGTCGGTTCCGAGTTCGACAACGGCAAACTACCCAAGGACAAGTCCTGCATTGCTGGTTTTGACAACGCCGGTTTCGTCATGGGAACTTCTAGCAGTCTCTTCAACCAGATCGTTCTGTATCTCAATGAAGACGACAACAACTACGTTCCTGACGGTGTTCCGGATATCGCCGTCGAGGCCGTAACCTCTGTTCTCAAAGCTATTGGCTCTGACAACAACGATATTGCTGACTGGACTCCTAACCCTTTCAAGGGCTGGAACGATGAGCATAACCTGAGCGCCGATTCCGAGCGACTCACCCTCGTCGATGGCGGTGAAGACCTCCAGAACATCCCTTACTACCCTCACATCCGAAAAGATCGTGAGGTCGATGTCGTCTTCTCCTTCGACTCTTCCGCCGACACTGACTACGGCTGGCCCAATGGCGCATCTCCCATCGCCACCTACGAGCGCTCTCTCACCAACATCTCAGAGGGCTCATCATTCCCCTCTATCCCCGGCAAGAACACATTCCTCAACCTGGGCCTCAACACCCGCCCAACCTTCTTCGGCTGCAACGCCACCAACATGACCGACCCCTCACCCCTCATCGTCTACATCCCCAACTACCCCTACGTCTACTCCTCCAACATCTCCACCTTCCAAATGAGCATCAACACCTCCGAGCTCTCTGCCATCATCGAGAACGGCTATGCTGTAGCCACCATGCTCAACGGCACGCGCGACAAGGACTGGCCCATCTGCGTTGGCTGCGCAATGCTCTCTCGCAGCTTCGACCGCACAAACACCACTGTTCCTGATAAGTGTCAGGAATGCTTCACGAATTACTGCTGGAACGGAACTCTTGATGAACGAGAGCCCAGCGAGTACAACCCTACTTTCATCGGCGAGCAGATCGAGGTGGAGAGCTCAGCGTCAAAGGCCAGCAGCGCTTTTATCACCATCGCAGCTATTGCAGGATTTATGCTCGCCATTTAAAAAATGAATGAAAAGTAGAGGAAAAGATTGCATATATACATTTGCTTATAGGAGTAACGCATTGGAGTTTTGTTCTATCTGAAGCGCCGTGATCTTGAGGACATGGATTCATGAAGAAGTTATATAGGGGTTGGATAGACGATGAGTTGGAGACTCGTCTTATTATTTACTCGGAATTCTCCATATCGTTACGATCTTGTGGATCTTATCGTGACGTTTAGCATTCGGTATGCAGCCTACCAGGCTTGTAATTTGTAGGCACAATAATACGATGATCTTCTCGAACGAGCCTTACTCGTGGTTTGAGGCTCATTGAGGACCATTAGCAAAGTCGCTCCATATAGATTATGCACAAGCTACATATTTGTTGTCTGCTCCGGCAGGCAACGTTAGCCGGGCGATAACTATTTCACCATTAGTCGGGTCTCAGACAACTTCTCATGGCATGTCATATGCGCAAAGGCACTGGTTCTTCCAATCCATAACTTTTCCTCATTAAATCATTACATATCCTTAATTGCTCTAAGCAAAAGTGACATCCTTGCCAGTCTTGGCACTCTCAAAAACACCCTCAATAATTTGCAAAACATCCCTCGCCTCAGATGCCTTCACAGGAACATCCTCCTCCTTTCCACTCTCAACAGCCTTACCAAGCTGAGCATAGAAAGCCTTGTAGGTAGGCGTCTCAATGGATGAAACAGTCTGCTCCTTGGCCTTCTCGTTGTCATCAACGACAACCAACTTATACCGAGCAGGGTCCTCCTTTCCAAAGTCCGCGTCAGTAGCCTTCGCACCAGCCTTGAGCGCATCTTCTTGCGTGTCGAGACCGAGCTTGCGGAAACTTCCCTTTGTGCCGCGGACCCAGAAGCGAGGCTGCTCGAGTTCGGCGCTGAGGACGCTGATGCGGATGTTGACGAGGAGACCGTCGGGGTAGGTCAACTCTGCTGACACACCATCTGGG